AACTTTATAACAGAGGAGTTATCCAAAATTCTAAAACTTAAGCGTGATCGAAAAGACACAAACCTTTTTGGAATAGGTCAATCAGCCATGTAGTTCAAGCAACTATACACTCCCGAACACAGGCATTTCAATTAGATGCTGAACTTATTTTTCTGAAGTCAATATCATCGTCCCAACCAGAGAGGGCAGTTCAAGGGTTAGACTGGAACCTCCCTGACAACATAAAGTTAACTGATCCACTGTTCCACAAACCTCAGAGAATTGACATATTGCTTGGTGCTGACGCATTTTTTGAGTTGTTAAAGGAAGGGAAATTTAAGCTGGAAACATACGGTCCAGTCCTACAAAATACCGTTTTGGATGGATCGTATCAGGTCGGTGCAACTCATCAAAACCAAATTTCAAATAGGCTTGAACATTGAGGTGTTGAGCGCGGTTCAAGATCATTGCAGTTTAGACATGTTGGTTCAAAAATTCTGGGAAATAGATAGTCTCCTGAGCATTGCACAGAATAAAATTTACACTCCTGAGCAAATTATGTGCGAAAAAGCATTCATCGAGAGTATTGTTCGGTTACCCTCCGGTCGACTTCACGTTTCATTGCCATTTAAGTCCAGCCCTACTTGTTTCGGCTCGTCGTTTGAAATCGCAAAAAGGCGGTTCTTAGCACTAGAAAGGAGGATGTCCAATAACCCAGAAATAAATTCTATGTACGTTGCCTTTATGAAGGAGTACATTTTCTTAGACCACATGACGTTGGTCAATGATGAAATTCCGACTGAGCCTCATTTCTTCATTCCTTATCAATGTGTGCTCAGACCGCAAAGTTCAAGCACTAAACTTAGAGTGATTTTTGAACAGCCCTGTCTATACGCTACATTGCTAAGGTTTCGTCTTCGCAAATACGCTATTACAGCAGATATCGTCAAAATGTACAGACAAGTGGAAATAACTGAATCCCATCGTAATTTTCAACTAATAGTATGGAGACAGTATAAGGATGAAAAATTACAAGTCTATCGCTTGATTACCATTACATACGGCACGGCCTGCGCACCGTTCTTAGCTATCCGCTGCCTCAAGTACCTTAGTGAGATATATTCAGTTTCTCACCCTCTAGGATCCTTAGTCTTATCGAATAGCTTCTACGTTGACGATCTTTTGTCAGGCGCGGATACAATCGAAGAACTTACGTCGATGCGAAACGAAGCAGTTGAAATCTTAGGCTCGGCCGGGCTTGTTCTTTCGAAGTGGGCAACCAACTGTGAGCAGCTAATAGATCTTCTAATAGATCAGTCTACAGATGTATCTGTCGGGGAGCACGAAGAGACAAAGGCGTTAGGCCTCGTTTGGAACCCAAAACATGACATCTTTAAGTTTTCTTTGCGAGAGATGTGTACAAGCAATGCACCAACAAAAAGATCTATGTTATCCCTTACTGCTTGCATATATGATCCTCTCGGGCTTATCTGTCCTGTTGTCACAAAGGCCAAAATTTTTATACAACAGATTCGGCTGCTTAAGATAGAGTGGGATGATCCAATTTCTGACAGTCTTCAGCAGTCACAATGACAATCGATCACAATTGGTTTGGAAGAGTTGGATACATCAACTATATCACTCCAAAATTAGTAGCGGCACTAGAAGGTATCGGAGATTTTGTATAGGTATATTCTTGAAGCTACTATTGAGGCACTTGGATACAATACTGATGAGTTTCCAATAAGTAAGTCCTTTATCAAAGAATTCGCACCGTAAAACGAAAAGATGGCGCGGAATCCATTAAAAATGATTTTCAAAACGAGATTCCAGAGTTTGATACTTCGACATCAAGTCGGCACGGGTTTTTCTGATTCAATCGCCAGAATATTTATTTTCTGTGTTCATAAGGTCATTTGGAAAGAAAATAGAGGGTATGCGATTTTAATTAAAAAAAAAAAAAAACAAGAAAGGAAAGCTAACTTCGGGCGGAGCCGAAGTTTATATACTTTTGCAGTTAAAACCGGTTATATATCGCAAAAACCGGATATTGTTGGCCGATCCCTATGAGAATATCATAATATAACCAATTAATTACAATAAAATATCTAACAAAAAAAAGTACCAAGCTTCTCTATCTTCTTCTATCTTCAAAAATACGAAAGTTGATATTTCTACCAAATACCATTTCCGATCGTTCAGTTATATGGCAGCTATGGGATATAGTCGGCCGATCCTAATGAAATTTGGTAGGTTGGATCAACTGACCAAAAATATAATCTGTACTAAGTTTCAGCTTTCTACCTATCTATTTCAGCTTTCAAAAACACGAAAGTTGGGTCGTTTTCGATCGTTCAGTCATATGGCAGCTATAAGATATAGTCGACCGATCCTTATGAAATTTGGCATGTCGTAATGTTTTGCCGAAAATAGCTCTCGTGTCAAATTTAAACTCTCTAACTCTAAAAACACCAAAGTTATACCATTTCCGATCAATCAGTTATATGGCAGCTATAGGATATAGTCCGATCCGAGCCGTTCCGACTTATATACTGCGTGCAAAGGAAAGAAGGGTGTGTGCAAAGTTTCAAGACGATAACTTTAAAACTGAAAGACTAGTTCGCGTAGAAACGGACAGACAGACGGACATGCTCATATCAACTCAGGAGGTGATCCTGATCAAGAATATATATACTTTATAGGGTCGGAGATGTCTCCTTCACTGCGTTGCACACTTTTGGACAAAATTATAATACCCTTTTCAAGGTTATAAACTAGCATTCTTAGCATTTCTTCGACTAGCATTCCAGTACGACCATGATTTTAAATATTTTGCTTGGAATAAGTAATTACTGGTACTTTGGAAAAAGAATGCCTGTATTGTCATGCACTCAAATTTAAAAATGAGCCAGTTGGGATGTGTTACTCATCACGAAAAGTACAACTACCCGAAATGAAAAACCACTTGAACCATTGCGCGGCATACTTCTCGGTACAGATCCAGTTTCTACCCTGTTCCTTGAAGCCAATTCGTACATTCACTTCATGCTTCCAAATGACATCGTTTTTACTCATCACAGATATGAATCGTGAACAGATATCGTGAAATCGTCACAGATATGAACAGTACGATACTATAGAAGACAGGCATTGTTCGTCGCAATGTTCCACAACATTGGGGGGAAATACAATTAAAAATTTATTTTTTTCGAAAAATTTTTTTTTGTCTTAATATACTCTAAATATATCTGAGAATAAGCCTTTAAAAGCATAAAGCTGTCCGGTACTTATTTTCAAAGTAATACGCAATTTAGTGAGTGCGTGTCAGTGGTAAACTTTAAACGCTTCTACTGAAAAGTCGTGTTTTCAAAGTCGCCGTGCAATGTACAGGTCAGAGATTTCATTTAAATCGAATGCGGTTTTTTGCTTTATGTTTGAAATGAAATTCTCCACAACATGAATTAAAGGATTTTTCATATTTATACCCTTGCAGAGGGTATTATAATTTTGGTCAAAAGTGTGCAACGCAGTGAAGGAGACATCTCCGACCCTATAAAGTATATATATTCTTGATCAGGATCACCTCCTGAGTTGATATAAGCATGTCCGTCTGTCCGTCTGTCTGTTTCTACGCAAACTAGTCTCTCAGTTTTAAAGCTATCGACTTGAAACTTTGCACACACCCTTCTTTCCTTTGCACGCAGTATATAAGTCGGAACGGCCCGGATCGGCCGACTATATCATATAGCTGCCATATAACTGATTGATCGGAAATGGTATAACTTTGGTGTTTTTAGAGTTAGAGAGTTCAAATTTGACATGAGAGCTATTTTTGGCAAAATAATACGACATGTTAAATTTCGTAAGGATCGGCCGACTATATCCTATAGCTGCCATATAACTGAACGATCGGAAATGACCCAACTTTCGTGTTTTTGAAGATAGAAAGCTGGAACTTGGTACAGATTATATTTTTGGTCAGTTAATCCGACCTACCAAATTTCATTAGGATCGGCCGACTATATCCTATAGCTGCCATATAACTGAACGATCGGAAATGGTATTTGGTAGAAATATCAACTTTCGTATTTTTGAAGATAGAAGTTTGGGACTTTGTTTAGATTTTGTATTGTAATAAATTGGATTATATATTCCTATTCCCATAAGGATCGGCCAACTATATCCGATGTTTGCGATATATATCCGGTTTTAACTGCAAGGGTATATAAACTTCGGCTCCGCCCGAAGTTAGCATTCCTTTCTTGTTATTTGTTGTAACATGTTTTTTTGACGAACAAAGTCGAAAAAAAGTGTGTTTTTTTTAAACATTTTTTTTCAATTTCAAATTTTTTAATGGAAAAACCATTTTTTTACATATGAAATAATTCATGTTGTGCGCTGTACCTCTAAGTTTAATGCCCAGTTGCTGTTTTTTGTTTTAGACGTGATCCTGGGCCTGGAGACTGCACGGCGCAAAGTTTATTTCCCAAAACACGACTCCACATTATTGATCATAAATGGGCTTAATTACAATATTTTTCGAAAAACTTGACTGATTTTTATTGCCCAATAATTTTCTAATAACATGCAAAAAGAATCGCTAAGATTCATTCAATTCCCTACTTGCATTTCACTCCCAAAGATAGGCCTCATTTTAGGCCTTTTAATTGTATTTCCCCCCTTAATGACGAACAAAAAATTATTAAATTACGACCGCATTTTATGCACCAGGTGGAATTGGCAAAACATTCCTTATTTCCATTCCGTTATTCCACGCTCAACGAACGCTAATTAAATTATTGCTTGCTTAAAATCATCGCGACTGGGGATTGATGTTGAAAAAGTACAACTGACGTCTTCGTCATATGCTAAACAACTGTTCTCTAAACAACTGTTAGATATTGTTTTGTAAAAAAGGGGCAAGTTCCTAGTTTTTAAAAATTTATCTTTTTCAAATATGGTTTTACTAAAAAGGAAACTACAATTAAGTTAAGAAATTAAGTTACATTTTTAGGATTTACCTTCAATGCTTGGAATGGCATATATATCAACTTCATAAACAACTTCTTTATATTGAGCACCTCTTGGAGAATCCGGAGGAGTGTTATACGTCCAGCTATAAAAAAAGAATATGAAAAAATATGAAACAGTTATAAACGAGAAAGAATAGGATACTTCGGCTACAGCCGAATTATTATTAATTATAATTATGGTGAAAGGTGTGCAAAGCAAAGAACCTCCGACACTATAAAGTATATATCAACACACTTCCGCAAAAGTATATAAGACATAAACTCAAATGTACAGTGAAAGTTTTTAGCAGAAGCTTGTTAGAAAGGTAATAGCAAATATAGAATTTAATATTTCATTTTGTTAAAATTTTTAATTAAACTCTATTCTGAATTTATATGCATGTCCGTTTCTACGCGAGCTAGTCTCTAAGTTTTAAAAATATTGACTTAAAACTTGGTCGGAAACGACCAAATAGTTTCTATTTTCGTATCCGAGTTTCGTCTCCGATCTTAACTGCAAGGGTATATGAAAAGATATAGTGAAACGATCCTTATGAGTATAAGGATAATACCTTATCATAATATAACCAATTTATTACAATAAAGCTAAATAAAAGTACCAAGCTTCTATCTTAAAAAAAAAAAACAAAAGTTGATATTTCTACCAAATACCACTTCCAATCGTTCTGTTTTTGCCAAAATTAACTCTCTAACTAAAAACTAAAAACACCAAAGTTATACCATTTCCGATCAATCAGTTACATGGCAGCCATAGGATATAGTCGGTCGAACCCCGATCGTTCCTACTTATATACTGCGTGCAAAGGAAAGAAGGGTGTGTGCAAGTTGCAAGACGATAGCTTTAAAATTGAGAGACTAGTTTGCGTAGAAACAGACAGACGGACATGCTCATATCAACTCAAGAGGTGATCCTGATCAAGAGTATATATACTTTATAGGATCGGAGATGTCTCCTTCACTGCGTTGCACACTTTTGGACAAAATTATAATATTCAGCAAGGGTATAAAAATTAATGTTATATTTACCGTTCACCACTATCACACTCCTCACTCTCACTATTTTCGCTACGTCCAGCTGCTTGGTTATGATCTCCGTGTAAAGCTTCCTCTTCAGCACGCACAGAATCGTGCACTCCAACCAATAAAGAATAGTCCATGATATGTAGCTTAGTCAGAAGCTAAATATAAAGAATTATATTCTTACATCATATTCTTAATATATTCAAACATTCTTACATCGACATCATTGCTCAGGGTTTCCATTAGTTTAAATTTTGCTTCTTCTCCAATTTCTAATTTTACTTTCTGTTTTATAAAATCATTATCTTTAAAAGTCGGTAAATGTTTTTCTAGTTCTTTCTCAGATGCTTCACGATCTACAGTACTGCCTTTTAAATCAAATTTTCTGTAAAATAATTTATTATTATATATATTTATATAAATGGTTTCATACTTGTGAATTGTCAAGTGCGAGCTGAAAACATTCCGCGTGACAACAAAATAATATTGCACACTTTCCACTGTGATACGGTACATTCCCAAATATTGCGGTAAAAGAGTTTTACCATGCCTCTCAACTACATACTAAAAAAAATATATTAAAAAAGATTGTATCGTAAAAATATAATTATACCTACGGGATGATATTGCTTTAAAAAAGCGTGCATACGCTCTATTTCTTCAGAGGTTAAACTTTTTATTATAAAAAATTTATCATAGCTTTGATAGAACTGTGCTCCTGATTTTCCAGAGGAATCGATTTTGATAGGTTGTGAACGTGTCAATGATTCTCGGAAATCCACATCATCAACCCCAAATCTTTCTCGCAAGTTTCGAAAAACCAAGGGGCAATACTCTTTTACTTTAAAGTGTGACGGCATATTTTCCCTTAAAAAAATACAACAAAAACAAATAAAGGAAGGCTAGAGAATAATAAAGTTAGATGGAACAGATGGTTATATACCCTTGCAGATTCTAATGGTTAACAAAGTTCTGTTGCTAGAAATATCGTAGAATATTTCTATAGAAATAGAAGTATCGTAGGCTTTAACTCAAGAAACCAGTAAGTATTAAGACTAAATATTTTTAACCATTGCATACTAATAGTTTCGAAACTACGCAAGTTTTCCAAACAAATCTGTCAACATTTATTTATACTTATGATATTATATATAATCCCTAGACCGAACTTTTTCGTCTTAAAAGAGCCACAGATTTGAGTTTAACTTTTGCGTTCTAATAGATTTTTCTCCCCCAGGCAACTTAGTTTCTCTGATTATGCAACAAGTAAAGGAATAAAGCAGGGGTGCCCAAGCTCAGCACAGGCAGAGCAAACTTCAATACCAATGCAAAAAATCACCAATACATTGGAGCGAGAACATTTTTTTTTCCATTACATTTCAATATTAAAGAAATATAAAAATAATCATTAAAAAAAAATTAAAAACTGTAATAAAATTATAGATAAAAGAAATTTATAGCTCCGATGTTAACCATTCTGTTTGAGAACTCAACCAAAAGTGATTTTCTGCAGTGAAAAGTTTTCGACAATACAAAGACGAAATGCCTTTTTTATTAGTACGAAAAACTGAGAAACTATACATTTGTGGTTGTATAGCTCGGCAACAATCAAAGAGAGTGGGAAAAAACGAAAAATGGTTTTTGTATTTGGCCTTTGCCTATGCTGAGAGCAACACACGTATATGACATTTCATTTCCCATATGAAAGAGCAATTCCAACAAAAAAGAAGCACCGATAGCAATGGGGCTGGGCACCCCTGGAATGAAGCAACAAATATAGAGAAATACATTAACTAAGCATGAATATATTTTTTAAACTAAAATGCCTTTTTTCAGGGTATTTTTGAACTCTCTTAAACGATATTATAATTTTGGTCAAAAGTGTGCAACGTAGCGAAGAACCCCATAAGATACATTCTTGATCAGGCTCACCCCTTAAGTTGTTATAAGCATGTCAGTCTGTTTTTCTGTTTTTACGAAAACTTGTCTCCCAGTTTTAAAGTTATCCACTTCAAACTTTGCACATTCCCTTTGTGCCTTGGCACGCAATAAATACATAAGTTAAAACGCAGTATTTACCACAGTAAGGTTTTCCTGCCATTTAACTGAACAATCGGAAATTAACCAACTTTGGAGTTTTTAACAATAGAAGCTTTGATACAATTTTTAAGAAATTTGTATTCTAATAAATTATTAATGAAATTTTCAACGATGTCCGATTTTTGAGATATATATCCGATCGTGCCCTTAATAAGTATCCATATACTTAACTGCAAGGATATATCAACTTCGGATCTGGCCGAAATTAACTTTCCTTTCTTGTATATTTGTATTTTTAATTTTAATCATGTAATCAACTCTATTCATACTTGTTGAACAAGTGATTATCAACTTTTATTTTGGAATAAGCCCGAAAGTCATCTGGCAGCAGCATAACAGGTATATTTACATGGCTCAGCTCATTAATCTGAAATTAAAAATAAATTAATGCAAGTTGCTTGCTAAAAGAATATACACACATAAGTACTCACAGTGTGATTGATTCCCCACATAAAAACGCTTAGAATCGGTTCATTCGCTCTAAACAGTTTAACTTTTTGATGTTTTACTCTAAAATGTTTTTTTTTCAATATGCGTGGCTGAGAAGTGGATGAAATCTTTTTGTCCATGGTTTCGCTGTGTACGTCTTGAAAAACAATATGCAAATACATACATGTGTATGTAAAAGTATTATATCAAATTAAATTAGAATAAATATCCCACCAGATGAAAGAATTTAAAGATAGATATTAAAAATATAAGCTACATTAATTATAATTAAAATAACATTAATGTTAATTAAGATTAAATATAAGTTTAAGACATTAAGATTAATGTTTGTTAAATAATTTTCCCTTAATACCTGTGTAAAAATGTTTATTGTTTGTTCAAAGCATATGTACATTTGTATTTATATAAAAGTGTAATTTGTTTATTTAATACTTACGATGAGATTAGATACGATTTATTATATTATGCATCGGTTAGTTAAGCTATTCTTGCAATAATAAGTAATTTTCATCAATTCTTCGGTATTATATGAATAAACTCTAATATATTTGTCTACAGTGTAGCCAGGATTAGAAATTCCAAAAATCTAAAGATATGAGTATTTTAGAAGCAAGTATTTTTCGTTATTAGTATTTTTGGTATGGTGTGGATTTAGTATATAAAATGTATGTTATATACTTTTTGTTATAGCCGATAAGAGTAATCGGGCAAGACGATGTAGGTTAAAGGCCCCAGTGATTGGTGCTGGGTGGCAGCACAGGGAAACAGGGAAATATTGAATTGACCGGGACGGTTCAAAAATTGCCTAATCTTTTTTTTTGGAACCTCATTTTTGCTGGCTGGTTCATTTTTTGGAAGCTTAACTAAGTGGAACCCACCCGAGAATAGACCAGAAAATAATAATATATACAACTCTTAAAATCATATTATTAAGGTATTTAAATTTTGTTTAATTTTAAGGTGTATTTTCTGTTACATCTGTTGTTTCTCCTATTCATTCTGATTTATTATATGGGCTAATCCTGGGGTCGCAAACGTACGGAATTAGTGCAAAAAATTAAAGAAAAAAACATTTTCTGAAACTCTTTGTTTCCGATAGCATTTGGTGAGTTCTTTTCTTAGTGTAAATTATGGTTCTAATGGATTTTTCATTTTCATAATACAGTCGAATACAGCATCGTTAAAGCATCGTTAGATTTAGCAGACAGCTATGCCACCTTTATGTCGCTATGCATTATGAATTTTGTGTTTCTCTCGCTGTTTTCGTTTAGTTAGTTGATTTTTTTCGGAGAGTAACATCATTCTGTGAAAATGTCACAAAAACGACATTTTGGAAGAAGTTTTGCCCAAAAATTCTGAAAGTGACGAGGATGATGACGCCGATGGAGCAGAAATTTTAACGAATTTACAAGCCAGAGAATTAATTCCTCAACTCAAACATTATATTTCATGATGTGTCAAATGGTGTCTTTGACAACCTAATATGTAGGCTTAGAAAACGCAATGAAAAAAAATAAAAGAAAAAAACACCAAGCAATCAAAAATTACCAACTTACCAATTATTTTTAAGCTTGAATTTTTTTTTTTTTTATAATTTAATGTTTCTGTTTAATTGTAAAATTTTTTTCTTACAATTTTATGTTATTGTTTAATTTTCTTTAATATGAAAAACTTACAAATGAATGTACGTATGTATGTATAAACTTTATAACTTCATAAACTTTAAGGCTTGATTTCTCCTTTTAAAATAAAGATAATTAAATAAAACAAATTTTATTTCTATATTTCTATAGACAAATGAAAAAAAAAACAAGAAAGGAAAGCTAACTTCGGGCGGAGCCGAAGTTTATATACCCTTGCAGCTAAAACCGGATATATATCGCAAACATCGGATATAGTTGGCCGATCCTTATGAAATTTGGTAGGATGGATCAAAATATAATCTGTACCAAGTTCCAGCTTTCTATCTTCAAAAACACGAAAGTTGGGTCATTTCCGATCGTTGAGTTATATGGCAGCTATAGGATATAGTCGGCCGATCCTTATGAAATTTGGCATGTCGTAATGTGTTGCCAAAAATAGCTCTCATGTCAAATTTGAACTCTCTAACTCTAAAAACACCAAAGTTATACCATTTACGATCAATCAGTTATATGGCAGCTATAGGATATAGTCGGCCGATCCCGGCCGTTCCGACTTATATACTGCGTGCAAAGGAAAGAAGGGTGTGTGCAAAGTTTCAAGACGATAGCTTTAAAACTGAGAGACTAGTTTGCGTAGAAACAGACAGACGGACAGACGGACAGACGGACATGCTCATATCAACTCAGGAGGTGATCCTGATCAAGAATATATATACTTTATAGGGTCGGAGATGTCTCCTTCACTGCGTTGCACACTTTTGGACAAAATTATAATACCCTCTGCAAGGGTATAATAAAACTTATTTTAACATTTTATCTTAAATAACTAATTTATAAAATAAAAATAACATAAAAAAGGCACACTTACAGAAAAACTAAAAAATAAATTAATCTAAGTTAAATTAATATTTTGTGGGTAATCCATTTTGCTTAATTACTGCATCCAACCGTCTTGGCATTGAAGATACCAGATTTTGGGTTGTTTCCGCCCCGATATTCCGCCACTCTTCTATTAGAGCCACCTTTAGCTCGGCCTTTGTTTTAATAGCGCGTTTTTTAACGCGCCTGTCTAGCTCTTCCCATAAATGTTCGATTGGGTTGAGGTCTGGGGATTGGGGCGGATGTGGCAGAGTGTGTTTCACATTGTGTGCGATCCACATACGTACATCATGAGCAGTATGTTTGGTGTTATCATGTTGAAATGAGAATGTGGGTGGCAAGTTCAACTTTTCCGCACTTTTTTTTAAGTTTCTTTTTAAAATTTTCAAATAGTACTTCTTGTCCATGATACCTTCGATGAACTCCAGCTCGCCGACACCTGAAGCGGACATGCAGCCCCACACCACAACGCCTCCACCACCATGTTTTACAGTCCCTGCAAGGTTATTTTTTGTAAGTTCGGTATTCGGCTTTCTCCAGACATGTTGTCGGCCAGCAGATTGAAAAATGTTTAATTTGCTCTCGTCGGAAAATATTACGGTATTCCAAAAATCCTCAGACTTCTTAATATACTCCTTTGCATATTCCACACGCATCTTTTGGTTAACTTTAGATATTAAGGACTTTCTTCTAGCCACCCGGCTGTTGTAGTTTGCCTCATGTAGCGTCCTTCGCACCGTTATAGGATGAATATCTTTGCCAAACTGCTCTTTCACTTCTGCAGCTATCTGGGTTGATGATAATTTTGGATTCACCATTATCTTTTTTATTATGTTGGCCTGTTCCCGGGAGGTCAAAGCCTTGGGTCGGCCCTTAAAACGCTGGACAACGCTGCGAATGGTAAATCGGCTTCTGTCCATTATTTCACCAATCTCAGCATACGATTTGCCTTGATCGTGCAAATGTAGAATAATTTTTCGCTCCGATTCTGTGGTGTCCTTCTTTCTCCCGGTCATATTTAAGAAAATTTGTTAATTTTGGTCCAAAACAAGGCAAAACGACGCTTTTAATATGGAAATTTTTGGCGATGCCAATTAGAGTCAAAAGATAACGGGACTTTTGACGAAGAAAAGTGGTCGATGAAATTTTTCCAAAAAGTTAATTACAACTTAAGTGTGCCAATAATTTTGTTCGTTGAAATTGAGCCCTTGTTTATGTTATTTTTATACCCTTGCAGAGGGTATTATAATTTTGGTCAAAAGTGTGCAACGCAGTGAAGGAGACATCTCCGACCCTATAAAGTATATATATTCTTGATCAGGATCACCTCCTGAGTTGATATGAGCATGTCCGTCTGTCCGTCTGTCCGTCTGTCCGTCTGTCTGTTTCTACGCAAACTAGTCTCTCAGTTTTAAAGCTATTGTCTTGAAACTTTGCACTAATCCTTCTTTCCTTTGCACGCAGTATATAAGTCGGAACGGCCCGGATCGGTCGACTATATCCTATAGCTGCCATATAACTGATTGATCGGAAATGGTATAAATTTGGTGTTTTTAAAGTTAGAGAGTTCAAATTTTAGGTGAGAGCTTTTTTTGGCAACATAATACGACATGCCAAATTTCATAAGGATCGGCCGACTATATCCTATAGCTGCCATATAACTGAACGATCGAAAATGACCCAACTTTCGTGTTTTTGATGATAGAAAGCTGGCACTTGGTACACATTCTATTTTTGGTCAGTTAATCCGATCTACCAAATTTCATAACGATCGGTTGACTATATCTTATAGCTGACATATAACTGTACGATCGGAAATGGTTTTTGGTAGAAATACCAACTTTGGTATTTTTGAAGATAGAAGCTTGAGACTTTTTTTAGATTTTGTATTGTAATAAATTGGATTATATATTCATATTCCCATAAGGATCGGCCAACTATATCCGATGTTTGAGATATATATCCGGTTTTAGCTGCAAGGGTATATCAACTTCGGCTCCGCCCGAAGTTAGCTTTGCTTTCTTGTTATTTTATAAATTAGTTATTTAAGATAAAATGTTTAAATACGATTTATTATTTTGTTCATTTGTTATACTATAGAAATAAAATTTGTTTCATTTAATTATCTTTATTTTAAAAGGAGAAATCAAGCCTAAAAGTTTATGAAGCCCGCTGTGCCAAAAATTTAGTTCGCCACTGTATGTACATACTTATAATTTTTGTTTAATTTTAATAAAGTTAAATACATATGTACCCATTATGTAAAATGTAAAAACCCGGTTTATTTGACTCTTTCATTTTGAGCCCCGTAAAATAGAAATCTCGATAAATCGAATTCCCGTCTAATTCGTAAAAAAAAGTGATCCCCTTGCCATTTCGAATTATCGACTGGAATGGAATATTTTAATCAGGGTCGTAGCTAGCATGGGGAAGGTGGGGCGGTGACCCAGGGACCCCGATATACAGGGCCCCGCTGGCGCCCCTTCTTATCGACCACTCTTTTAGTTCTGAAAAAGCCTTACCATGGCTTTCGGACTTTCTGAATGTGCTTTAAATGGATCACAATAGTCTAACAAAATAAAAAAATTCTAAATTTGTTTACATTTTTCTTAGATAATGTACAAAACAACATGTTTTTGCTTTATTTCAACATATCTAAGTATCTCATTTGGTAAGTACCATTAAAAACGCCGCTTTCTCGCTTTGCAAGCCGCAAATTCGTCGATCGCTTGGCTGAAATCGATCTTTCTTGTTCGCTCATTTTCAATCGATAATAATGCCAATCCACACAATCGCTCTTACCCCTTAGAGCTTCTCAAATAATGTTTAATCAATTTCAATTTCGAAAAAGATCCTTCCGCCGTTGCAACTGTTTGCACGCCTTCACATACCTTGAACAGTTCCCGTATCAAGAGACGATGCAGACGTGGATGATAACCAATTAACGAATTGACCGGAAATTTTTTTTGCTTCATTCTCTTTCTTTCGTTTTTTCTCTCTTTTTTTGCTCCGCTGGGATAGATACGTTTCATCGCGCAATTTAAAAATATATATCTGTACGCAGAATAATTATACAATTGTCTGATTCTATTGTTTGTCATTAGCACCTCAATTGAGCAGCTGATTCGCGTCAATCGAGGTGTCGAACAGTGTTCGGGACCACTATACGCGCCTGAAATTCAAACGTTCCACACATAGACAACCCTACGGGGGTTGGGGCGGGGCCGGCCTGGCCCTGTATATCGAGGGCCCGGGTCATAACTTTAATCATAACAATAACTTTACTTTTAAAATTTACCCAATGAAATATCTCTATTAGTTTTTTTTAAATTCATAAAAAACATGTTTCACCAAATTTATTTTGTTTATTTTGTAAAGTATATATTATCTTGATCATCATCAACAGCCGAGTCGATAAAGACACGTCTGTTGTAACGAACAGTCAACTTTATGAGGTGGCATCTCTGGACCATCGGGTGAGAAAAGAGGGCTGCACGCGGTTGCCAGCTATGTAGGTCTCGTCGGCCAATGAATGGGTCTTATAGGGCACCCTTTCTCTCCCTGATGCTTACCTCAAAGATCATAAAAAATATCACTAATAGAATGCGTGCACGGCCTCTTGAACTGCGAAGACCTAACATAGTCCCCTCAGAACAGATTTTATCTGGATCATCAAGATCCCCGAGAACGCAAAAGGTTAGGCGGATTCAGCGGCAAGGCGGTGGCGAATTATCTTTCTTTTACTTCATTATAAAATTCATGTTTATTAGGTTAAATTTTACTCCAATGGGATAATTCTTAAAGTTAGCTTAAATTAGGAAATTATCGAATATTACTTCATTTCATTTATCTTTTTCTTTACGCTTCACCGCTCCGTGGTGAAAGGCTATATGCGCCTAGCGCACGCGGTTTCGCTATGTATCTGCGCGATTTTCTACAATAAACTCGGCCGACTTTATCCACGGGCTACAATTCATTAGCCCGGTTTGGCGACG